GAGCAGCCCATGAAAGTTTAGGATCCGCCTTGACTGAAGGGCATCCAATGTAATGACCTTTCTGTCTCTCGTAAGTTTCTTTGTATTTATACTGAAGAGGAAAGCAAAGGAAAGAGCCATTGAAAGAATTCGGATAATTCCACTTAGTGGGAAAAATGGTATTTTAATAATCCGGGGACCCCGAGTGAAGGAACAGATAGAATTCATCATTCAAAAATAACTATCCAGTTATTTTTGAACACATGAAACTTTAGGAATGTTGTTTTGTAAGTTATGCAACTATGTTATGTGATATAATTTATTAAACCATTATAAAACAACATTTAAAAACAGTGCTTTCCCCTTTTAAAAATAGTAGCAGAAAGTAACATTTATTGAATGCAAAATCATTAGGTCATAAAAAAATTCCCTTTTGCCTAAATATCTTAATGGTTATCTCTTCAGCAATTCAGGATAAAGGATGCATTAAAATGCTTGAGTTTAAAATGATATTAAAATCTAAATTTCTAAAGCTATAAATTGAAAACAAATGGAGGATATTGTGCAAAAATATCATATCCTTGAATAATAGCAACTTGTGAATCATTGAATGAATATGTCTTTAAGATGATGTTAACTAGTTGCACACACTGCCATATGTGATATGAAAAGATATGGTCATTTTAGAAGCAACATTTAAACAACGTAGGTCATACCTCACTTGCAATTTCTCTGGAAGATTTTGCATGTTTGAATGAAAGAGCATCAACTTTAAAGTCATAACCTTTTGCTTTGTCTTCCTCCCAGGCTCCAGTATAATGTTTCTGCAATTAAAAATCCATGTACAACTTCAATGCAATCATAAAACGAATGCCAGTTAACTACAGACATTCCTCAAAAGCACAATCCTATGCATATCTACTGAGAAATGAGCCAGTGACCAAAAGATGGTGAAAATAAATTTGATCTGAACCCTATCAAAAACCTTTTCAGTACCCAACGAAGTTAAAACAACTAATTCCAATGTAGTCTGCTGTGGTATCCAAAATAGCAATTGCCAAACAGATATTTTCAAATGTTTATCTATTTTTAAGAAATCCACACTAAGACGGGTGGATGAACAATAGTATTACTTTCTATAACTTCTTGGTGAGTGTTTATTCCATATTATTCCATATTTTATCATGGACATTTAACAGAGATATTTGTATGTCACATGCACATCTAACAGAGTCTTTCTCAGGCTTTACTATGTTTGAAATATAAGCCTCATAAAAAGATTTAGGAAATATAGATGAGTATTTCTGTCTATATTTATTAAATGATTGATTATATACCTCTATCAATATAGGTGCCAATAGGTCCATAAATGTTCTGTACCACTCAACTGAAAATCAGTTAGATCAAGGGGCTTTCCCTCATTTTATAGATCAAATTGTCTCTGTAACTTCTTATTACGTCAATGGTTGTGCCAGTTTATTTTTACCTTCCTGAGAGGTTTCTCCCATTTCAATTATTTTTCAAATAAGTCATAATTTGCTGTTCAGTTACAGATGTTCCCAATTCATATAACTGAGTGTAAAAATATAAAACTAGTAATTCATTGATTCTACTTCAGTATGTAACTGACCATTATTGGCCTGAATTACAGAGATAAAATGTCATTGTTTTTGTTGTTTTAACAAATAAGACAATAAATTTCCACCTGTCTTTCTTGATTCCCAGTAGTTAAGATTAATGCATTTCAAAGAATATTCAAGTTGATCCAAAAGTAGCAGACCCAATTTAACCTTAGCTGCTATAAATACTTAATATGAATCATCTCTGGGGGTTTTAGCATACTGTATATGAAAACTTAATATATGGATCTTTTTTTCTTCATTAATTTTGTTTCCTTTTTGCTATATTTTAATTACCATGATGTTCTTTTCTTCTATATAACTACTATATATTGTGGGTGTGGATGTACGTACTGTTTACATATATTCTGTTGGTATTGCAGTGGTATGTATTTTATTTAAAACTTTTTTTTAGTCATCATACATACATGATCTGTCAAATGAATTAATGACAGGACAATTTAAAATCTCTATACATGTTTCTTTGATTGCTGCATTTGAACCATCAGTTTCATTGTTGTTACTTAAAATATAAATATATATAGGAATAGACATGTAACTTATAAGTTAAATACCATTATCTTTTCAAGAACAATTAACAGTAAGAGAATACAACTAAGACAATGTAACAAACAAAGGAATATTGATTTGCTTAACAACAGAATGCATAGAGTTAGTTAATTATCTTACATTGCTAATATTCACAGCATTAATCTTGGACTGCAGCATTATAGGGGTATCAAGAGGAAGATGGATCTGTGCCTTCTCTTTATCCCACGCTTCACGATACAGGTTCTAAGAAAGAGAGGAAGCAAGGACAATTTTCAATTGCTGTGTGAATTTTTCATTTCAATTTTTCAAAGGCCACTGTGTCTCAGACACCTCTATCATTTCACAGATTACACAGAGGTAGTGACTACATTTCAGATTACCTCACTGATCTGTTGAGCATTGATCTTAGCCTGGAGGACCGGGGGTGGGTCAGCTATACTGGTAAATTTCAGTTCATCTGGACGGAGTTTGTACAATCTCTCATTCACGAGATCTTGAGCCCTTTTCACTCTGAGCACATCCATTGAGCCTTCAGGCATCCATCCAATCCCACGGAGCCATTCCAGATCTGACTTGTAAAGATTCTGCAAAGGAAACCATCAGGCTATTCATAAGATATTTCTTTCAACTTACTAAAAACACCACTGTAGCTTGCCTGTTCAAAACTAATGTACAATTAGTCATGTCTCAACACAGAGCCATTCAGTTGCTACAACTGTTGTGTCATACAGTTATTTATTTAGTTTTTATTTATTTAAGATTCATACAGTCATCCATCTTACGTATCATAACATAACATGGATAGCTTGCAAGCAAGAATAAAACAATAAAAAGCATAAAAAGCTTTTTCATACTAATTTGTGAGGATATTTGAAAAATGAACTCCTCCTGATACTCTTTCTCAGCAGCATCTTTTAAAAAAGGTCAGCTATGGAAAGTTATACATTTTGTAAAGTAACTGATAATCCCTGTCCAATGCAGAGCAGCACAGGTACATAATAGGTTTATCTATTTTTTACACCAAAATGTGCCTAGAAATTTAAAACAAATGGTCAATAGACAGGAATATAGCAAAAAAACCCACAAAACTATTCTGTGCAAGAGCTGCTCTGTTGATGGATAGCTAGGTCTGTGCTATTTAACGTTCAACTACAAGTGAGTGGGTTTTTTTGTTTTTTGTTTTGGTGATGGCTGCACATTGCCAACAATGCAGGCAAGGCTTGGGTCACTGTAGATGCAACAGTAATAATCCACCCAATGCAGTGAGAGATTAAATAAACTAATAGGCAAAAGACTATAATGGAACATGCAGTTACTTTCTACTCACATCACTCTGTAGATCGTAGGCTTTCTTGGCTTGGATGACATCATTCTGGTCAGGCAGACATATCCATTCATGAAGGGGGTGGCGATAATCAATGTCGCTAACCAGCTTCTGACATTTCTTGGCTAACAAGATGGACAGCATGTCCACTGGGCTACTGAACTTGGTCTTAGACTTCTCAAAATATTTCTTGTACTCCCTCTCACTTTGCAGTTTGGCTACACGCATAGCCAGCACTAACTTGGGATCATCATGGATGTTCCGGAATCCAACATGGTGTCCCACTTGCTTACGGTAACCTTCTTTGTACTTGTACTAATGATGAAATATAAACAAAACATCAGTTTTATAAAACGTACATAATCTATTACTAAAATTACATTTCCAAACTGCAACACACTGCATTATGCCCTTTTTCTTATATAGTTATGATCTGCCAGCAGCCAGTGCTTGAATAATAAATTGTAACCAATGATATTGACAACTGCTGGGTTTATTGCCAGGTTTCAATTTGATCCTTTTTGATAAAATATTGACTGTTTTACAAAAGAGGAAACCGCTTTATGGAAATGCCATAGAATAGCACACAATACCTCACTAGCAATATCCCTAGAAGCCTTGGCATGCTGGATTTCAATGGCATCCAATCGTAAGTCATGACCTTTCCTCTTCACCTCTTCCCATCCCAGTTGATAATGTTTCTGTGAAGGAAAATAAATAATGCATATTCCATGTCAATGCATGTCACATTTATAAAGAATTATGGAATATTAGTTTATACAGTAAGATCTTTGGGCTGTGGCTCTCGCTGCAAGCAATGGTAAATTTATGGGATCATTATGATAGGAAATGGTTTTCATGTTAGTCTGAATGAAAATTGCTTACAAAGGTAACCTCACATTGTCAAATTTCTACTCATATAATTATAGATTTGGAGAGTGTCATAAACTCTCACAGAAGACTCATCCTTAGAAAAGGAAGAAGAGTCAGGGGAGATCTTGGAAGCCAATTCATATTTAATTCTTTAATTGCTTACTTTGCTGTAGTTGACAGCATTTGCTTTGGACAGAAGCATCTCAGGAGTGTCAACTGGAAGTGTGAACTGTGTCTTTTCTTTATCCCAAACTTCATGATATAAAGCCTAAAGGGAGAAAAAAAAATATTTATCATTGGTAGGATATATTATATTTTTCAAAACACTTCATTGACAAAAATATCTTCATTTGAAGTTGGTCACATTGTCATTCAAACCATGTAAGGATTAGGGTGACACTCAACTATTTGGCTTCAAGGCCATTAAGCTCTGCAAAAGAATTGTTAATTCATGGGGAGGGTAGAAAGGAAAGTAATGGGTCTCAATTACCAGGGGTATAAGAAGCACTGACCATGCCACACTGGCAGTGAGCAACCAAATGTTTCATTTGGCTTCATTCTTATCTGCAATAAATTTTCCTATCTAGCTAAACTGTGTCTGTAAGATATCTGCAGAGTTCCAGCCAAGGAACCAAGCTTAGCCGTGTGAAATATTTATTGCCAGATCCCGGTCAGAAAAGCCTGCTAAAATTATCAGTGATAGAATGGAATTTAGGTAGACCTGAAGTATCCAAATCTGAAGCAAGAGATAAATCCCTTAACAGTGCATTATTTAAACCATGGGAAAAGACCTCATATGCACCTTTGCTCCTATTCCCACTAACAATTAAGCCTTCATTCAGATTCAAAATGGTTTCTTCAGTGTAAGAAGTTCTAAAGAAATAGACAGTATTTCTATGGACAGTATACAAGATGGGCTGTGGGTGTATAGAAGATCAGAATGGCTATTTTAATTTTAAAAACCCAGAACGTTCACATGTTTTTCAACCATTCTAAATAGAAAATACATGAAAAATGTAGTGTAAGTCGTACAATAATTTTATAAAAACAAAGGAAACCTCCAAAAACTGTCTTCTAAAACATAGCTAGCCAAAGTACGTAACATCTCCTCCCTTTGCAGCCTCCAATCCTCCTAAAAATTTTCTCCATTTAATGTTTAAAGGGAACTACCACAATTACAACTAAAGCTAGAACAGGTTGGTAGTAAGTGTTTGGATTTTTTTTTTAAACGTTTTCTGCTTTCAATGACAATATTTATAGTGGGGGACAGTAATCCTTGTGCAGCAATCTAGCAAAATATATTTTCTATAAAAATCAACAAAACTGCAGTTTCTGCACTCTTTTAGACAGCCCACTGACGTAATAGAAAAATGTACCTCAGTTCAGATTAATTGAAACCTGATTTTAAATGGAAAGATAAGCGACCCCAAACAACTGCTGCATGATCAATATTGCTCACCCCACTCTGCATCAGAGCATTGGCCTTGGCAAGGACAATATCTGGGGTGTCAACAATAGGCGTGAATTTCAGATAATCCCGCGGCTGCCGGTACAGTCTTTCGTTCATCAGATCCTGAGCATTCTTCACTCGTTTGACTTCCAGAGAACCTTCTGGCATCCAGCCAATACCACGCAGCCATTCCAAGTCTGACTTGTACACATTCTGCAAAGAAGAAAAAGAAGAAAAATCACGCATTTCCTAGGCGGAAGAGAAGATCTTGAGTGGGGGGGGGGGGGGGGGAGTAATCTAAGTTCTCCCTGAAATAAAATGTAGCTCCCACACAGCTAGGGCCTCTAACATCAGGTCATAAATGAGGTAATGGATTATGCCACTCAGCAATATCCACAGTTCCTTTCAGAATTCACAGATTCTTGACCAAAGCCTATTGAGGTTTTATTTGTGTCTGCTACCTCACAGACCTGTATGTCTACATCTTCTTCTTCTTCTTCTTCTTCTTCTTCTTCTTCTTCATCGTCATCATCATCATGTATCACAGGTCCTTGGGAAGGACTCAATAGGTGGATAAAAATGCCAAATCCAGTCTAAACATCTGGCTGACTGTGCAACCAGCCATAATAAATGCATATGCTGCCTGAATCCCAGCAACCCTGGGCTGTCTATGCCATTGAAACACTTGAAGGTCAGAGTCCAGTACTATGTAATAGATGACGTATAGTATTCCAGTAATGCAATCCTAGCACATTGTTTTTAAAAAAGCCCCATGGGGCTTAAGAGAGAGCTAAGAGAGCCACTTTGATGTAGTGGTTAAGGCATCAGGCTAGAAACCAGGAGACTGTGAGTTTTAATCCTGCCTTAGGCATGAAGCCAGAGGGGTGACTTTCGGCCAGTCACACCCTCTCAGCCCTAGGAAGAAGGCAAGGGCAAACCACTTCCAAAAAATGTTGCCAAGAAAACTGCAGGGACTAGTCTAGGCAGTCACCAGGAGACCATAACTGACTTGAAGGGACGCGCACATGGGACTTACTGCCAAGCAAATGCATACAGAGTTGCAAATAATAGTGCAATTAATTTAATGTAGTTTATTTGGGGTTTAAATTACATTCGGGAATTTGCTATGAGAAATGTCTCCACCTTGTTGGAAGTTGTACTATTATCTACTCTGCAGGTGCTCTCCATTCTCAGGGAGGGATTGATTTGGGGACCTTTTGCATGCCAGTCACATGTTCTTCCACTAAATAATAGTCCTACTCAAAGAGGCATCTGCATTTTACACTTGAACTGTACATACATCACTCTGCAGTTCATATGCTTTCTTCGCCTGAATGACATCATTCTGGTCTGGCAGGCAAGTCCATTCATGCAGGTGTGTGCGGTAGTCCACTTCACTGACCAGCTTCTGACAATTCTTAGCCCCCAAGATTGACAGCATGTCAACAGGACTATGGATCTTTGCTTTCCATTTCTCAAAGTTCTTCTTGTACTCCAGGTCACTCAGAATCATGCCTGCGTGTGCAAACCACACCAACTTGGGATCATCTTGAAATCTTTGAAGCCCAACATAATGCCCTTTCTGCTTCTCATGTGCTTCTTTGTATTTATACTGTAAGAGAGAACAATGCATTTTGGAATGAATATAAACGTTACTAGAAAAGCTAACAATTATTTAGCTACTAAAGTTACAAAAACCAAAAGCAGGAGGCAAAACTGAATTCAGATTTCTTCAAAATGTCATACTGATTCAACTCTTGTTCAACTGTTGACTAGTACTTTTGTGACATTTAAATATCACAGTAAAATATAGTAAAAATCCCTTTGTACCATGGTATCAGAAGAAGGGCTCTTAACATCCACTTTTCTACAACAGTTTTTGATTGAAGGGAGAAAAAAGGCAGTACTTTGCTTGATACACAAAATTATCCCAATGGCAAAAATCAAATAGGAAAGCAGATTTCTTTATCTTCCAGACTTCCTTTTATTTGCCAGAAAGGAATTCTAAATGAGCTTTTAAAGCTTTGGGCTAAGAAACTGTGCTGTCTTAGCACAGGTTTTATTAGGAAAAAAAATTACCCCATGTTACTTTGGCTGGGACAAATAATGCACCCTAATGGCAAAAATCAATAGATTTTTATGTCAAATTTATCTCTCTATGTTCTTGCCATTTACAGCCACTGGAGATACAGCCTTGTTACATATCATTTTGGGTCAGTCTAATGGATCTGTGTAAATTTTCTAAAGTCTGCCTGTTTATCCTGTTAATTTTTTTATTTCTGTAGCTTCTTTTTGAAAAACTTTAGGGGAACTGCTGGACAGGAGTATGACATGAAAGCGTCTGCTCACATCACTAGCAATATCTCTTGAAGCCTTTGCCGTTCTAATTGGGATGGCATCAATTCTCAGGTCATAACCTTTCTTCTTAGCTTGCTCCCATCCTTGGATGTACAGTTTCTGTAGAGGATATGATAAAAAGTTACCCAAGTGTAAATTCACTTAAAGCATCTAGAATTTAAAATCAATTTGTTCATACAGTATATATTACATCTTGTAAAGTGAAAACAAATCCCCAAATTATCAAATATTCAAACAATTTTAACATCCTCTTACATGGCTGATATTGGCAGAATTTGCCTTGGCCAGCAGAATTTCTGGGGTATCTGGCATGACATGAATGTTGGTTTTATCAGCATCCCAGGCTTCAGTGTATAATTGCTGTGAGGGAATAAGGAAAAAAAAAGTTTGAATTTTGTCTAAAGGAAATATGAATTGAAATGCAGTGTGAAGCTATAAAATTAGGAAAATTCATATTCATTAAAAAGGTTATCTAACATTTATAATGAAACTCAAATTTTCTGGACCAATGTATTGAACTATGCTTCAAAGTCATATGTACCATATGGTACACTACATTTTACAGACTTTACACATTTTTTTCTAGTTCAGATTTTGTAGCTGAACTTGTTTAAAAGAGTTCCTGGGTGCAAGACCTGAGAACTCAGGTTTACCGAAGAGAGTCAACTCAGAGCATCTGAATTCTCCAATTTTCCAAAGCAGAACTCCACTTTGGGCCTGAGGCAATGCATGTGTGCTGAACGAGTTAGAAAAAAGGATGATGTTATTTGGATTTTGGCACCAAGCAGAATAAACAGTCCCTTCCAAATTTAGGATCCTACCATTCCATTTCCTAAGCAAATTATTGCCTGTTATGGAACACTAGTTACTCCTGTTCAAAAAACCTACCTTGCTCATCATCTCAGCATTATGCTTCGCTAATTCTACATCCCAAGTGTCTGTGATACAGGTAAATTTCATTTCATCGCGTGGTTGCCGATACTTCTTTTCACTTAGGATATCTCCAGCTCTCTTGACATGCTCAACATTCAGTGAACCAAGAGGCACCCAGCCAATGCCCTTCAGCCATTCTAGATCTGACTTGTAAAGAGCCTGAAACATGAAGAGTGATGAACTGTATTCAGAGAAGTCAACAAACACATGCATTACAACACCTTTTGGAACGACGTTTCTGGCTAATTGAATTATGAATTTAATGTTAAAAAAATTCAGATGAAAAATGATCTATGAGGCTGAAATTCACCTTACAAGTTGACTGATTTGATTTTCAGCAGCCTTACATGTTATACAGGTAGTCCCCAGTTTAAGAACAAGTTCCATTCCCAAGGTCTGTCCTTAAGTCAAATTTGTATGTCAGCCTGTATATGTATA